TATATATATATATTAGCTGTAGGTGGACACAATACCTTTATTTTATTTTTATGTGGTGCTGAGAACCAAACCCAATGCCTCATGCATGCGAGGCAAGGGCTCTAACTCTGAGCCACAGCCACAGCCCTATATGATATAATTCTTTATACATTAGATATATTTGAAATATTTCATAATGTTATGATTTGGATGTGAAATGTCCCCCAAAAGCTCTCATTAATGCAGGAATATTCAAATATAAAATGATTGGATCGTGAAAACTATAACTTAATCATTATATCCTATTTGAATGGACTGACTGGGTGGTAAGTGTAAGCAGGTGGGGTGTGGCTGGAAGAGGTGGGTCACTGGAAGTAACCCCCCCCCAAGGGTTGTTTTTCCTGCAGCCCCTCCCCGCACTCTCTGTTTCCAACTCCACTAAGGCCTCCCCTGGGCCTTCCCCAAGCTTGCTGCTTTACCTGGCCCCAGAACAATAGAATCAGCCCATATGAACTGAGACTTCCAAAACCATGAGCCCCCCCAAAAACTTTCCCTCCTCCAAGTTCTTCTTGACAGGTATTTTGGTCACAGCAATGCAAATGCTAACTAAAACACATAATTAAAAGTTTAAATTAGAAAAAAAAATCTTTTAAATACTGATACTAGATGTGTACCCTGATTTGATTATAACACAGTCTATACAGACACGGCATTATCATTCTGTACTTGATATTAGCTCAAAACCTCTGGGTAGTGGGGCCCAAGCAACAGTGTACTCTAACATCTTCCCAAGTGATTTGTATGTGTAGGCAGAGTTGAGAAACAGGAGTGATAGAGGACTGAAGTACAATATTTAAGAACTCCTCAAAAATCATTCATGTCTGTCAAAGAGATACCCGCACACCCATGTTTATTGCACCACTGTTCACAAAAGCCAAGATATGGAATCAGCCAAGGCTTCCAGTAGTTGATGAAGAGTTATAAAACATTAAAATATATATATATGATACACACACACACACACACTGTGGAATTCTGTTCAGCCATTGTGGCAAAACACATGGCACTGGAGGACCATCATGTTAAGTGACATACGCTGGGTACAGAAGACAACACCACATATTCTCATATGTGAAGCTAAAAAGAGGTTGAACTGATAGAAGAAAAGAGTAGAAGAGGTCACTAGAGGCTGGAAAGGATGGGAAGCAGGTGGGATCATGAGGACCTAAATAGAATTAGATTTGAGGAATTGGCTCTAGTGCTCTTTAGCACAGCAGGGTGACTCTGGTCTACAGGAAATTTTTGAGAGTTTCAAAACAACTAGAGTAATCCAAAGGTACCCAACACTTAGAGATGATAAAAGTTGGAGGAGAGGGAAATGCTGGTTACTCCAGTTTGATCATTAAACATCACATACATATATCGAGTTATCACATTAGACTCCGTAAACATGTATAGATATTGTGTGTCAATTTTAAAATTCTGAAAAAAAAAGAATTTCTCAGAAGAAGGATGTCCTAAAAATAAACACTAATAGGAGGTACTTATTTATATTTTTAAGAGATTACTCATAGTACTTGGTAAAAGGTACTAGATTAAACATGTCTGTGCCCCACCTCTACGAAGCGAGCCGTTTTGGAGCACACAGGGGGCATGCTTTGGCAGTGTCTGCCATCAGATTTGTTGGTGCTCACACTAGGGAAAACCTATTACTGTTCCTGGCTGCCCCCTTCCGAGTAATGTGTCAATACAATGCTGGCATATTTCACAATTGGCATAAAGAACTCACATAGCACACAAAATATCATGACTAGAATTTCAACAACTCTTCAAACACCCCAATGAAAAATGAAATATCACCCATGGTTTAATTCCAAGTTCCTGTGTGATGTGGAGAAGATACTCATGAGCACTCATTATTTTAGGTGATAAGTGATAGAAGGTTCTGGCATGTACTTTGCGATGAAATACATAAGAATGGTTGAGAAATTGGAGGAGTCTGAGGGAAATTGTGTCTAAACAGAACATGAACATTTTATGAATTGGCTCTAGTGACGGTCCCCCCAGGGTGTTCAGGCGCCGGGATAACTACATCATGGTACCTTCACACATTCATCTCTGCTGTTATCCTGGGACCTTTGTAATTGTCCTCCAAACAAAAGATATTGTGAGTCTCGTAAAACATAAACCAGACCATGGCACTCATTTGTTCAAAGTCCCCCAAGGCCTCAGGACCTGTGTTATCTGCCAGTCACCTTACTCAATCACTGCATCCTGACAGCATCTACCAACCACGTTCCCTGGTCTCTTTGCTTTTCCTTGGTTAACCAGGCACGTTTCCACCTTCGGCTTTTGTACCAGCTCTTCTCTCTAATATGCTAAGACCCTCACCTGCTTCCAGTGTTTGCTCACGAGTCAATATTCAAAGAGGCCTACCCCCCATTTCCTTAAGATAATCATGACCAGGCTTCTGTGTGATCAAGGCTTGGTCTCAAAC